CACACGTGAAAGGAAGTCCAAACTATTCAAAAATACACTTCGTGTACAGTAGTATTGGTAGTGATTAGGTAGACAATTTCTCCATTTCGAAATGCAATCAAACCTAAACCACTAAGTTATTACTACGGTCAGGGACGAAGCCAAAGCACTGGGCCGGACTGGACCGGTACAAAGAATATATTTGGAAAAAATTTTACACAGAATTTTTTACACTAAAAATATGAACATTTTTTAAATTTAGGCTGGGCCAGGGTCAGGGTTGGCCCTCCCCTGGCTCCGCCCCTGACTACGGTACTACTCCATCCCCAATTAGGGAAAAAGCAATCTGTCTTTAAGAAAAGTAAATTTATGTGATTGTAATATGAGACAAATTTAAGTTGACATACCGAAAAGGAAAATAAGACAAACATAGTGGGACAGAGAGAATATTAGGGAAAAATGGCGTAGTTCACGCGATAAGATGATAGTGTCACATGAGAGAAGCTTTGAATTCAACTCCAAGTAATGATTTGAGATAAAAGTATGAAACCTTACTCTATGTTTCCATTAATGTATGATAAAAACTCAACTTACATCCTTCGATATAACTGTCCGGTCGGTTTTGAGAGACCCTCAGGGATGAGATGACATCCCTTTTTTATTAGCGGGAAATAAATTACATATCCCGAACTTTTAAGAAGTGTGGCGTAAGCATTCCAAACTTCACACATTTAATATAATTATCCCAAACATTATACAAAAAGTTATCTTAACATCATGATAATATGTTTTTCTTTCACAAATGTTAATTATAGTATTAAGTAAATAATTTAAATATTCTAAAAAATGTGTGATTAACAATATAAACTTATTTGTTAATTGTTAATGTTATTTATTTTGAATATTGATGCTTAGATTAATAATTACATCCTTATAAATGCCCATAGTATTTTAAATTTTATATTTTTAACACTATGGAATTATATTTGTGAAAGAAAAAATATATTATGAAGCCGCTAAGATAATTGTTTATATAAACTTTAAGGTATTTTTATTATGTATACAAATTTGGATGTTTACGTCACACTCCTTAAAAATGTTGGGTATTTACCCCTTTATTATTATTAGCATTAAATTAAAATGGAGCCATATCATTTTAGATTCGAAATTTTTGGGGTACATCGAAAAAATGAAGGATTGGAATGATTAGCGAGAGTCAAAGTTCACTCTATTCCGGCCAATTCAGTGGTTCAATTAGGTATAGTCTTCTGGTTGTTTGGTATGCTAGAATGCTAGATCACTAGATCATCTAGCGTAGATCCTACATAAACTTATGCCTGAGTCAAGCTTCATAAAAGGCCCCTATACGAAGAATTTGTTTGTATTACAAAATATTTACGATAAAAAATATCACAAAAACTCAATACTTAAATAAATGCTTACATTATTAAATAATGATACTGAATTTATTAAAATAACTAATTAAGTACAACTTACCGAACAAAATTAGATGTAAAAGTTTTACTCAATTAAGTATAACCTAAGTCTTTAATAATTTCCTTCTTAATATATAACTTAAGTATAACATGCGTCATCTTAAAAAGGTCTATATAATATAAGCTTTAGTTTTGAGAGACTTCTTTCTGCACTTGTTACTATCACATGTATTGTCAACCAGATTTTATACTCGTATGTCATACACATTAGTAATGCATTCATCTATCCTTTCAAATAATCCATCACATCATTCACAAATTTTGTTTCATCTAGTAAAGGATACTTTAAACAATGAAAAATTTTACACTTTCTCATTTTGTTCAAATATAAAGCTTTTACTCGGATTAATTGTGAATTGAAAATTATAGAATTTTTAATCTTCATAACCTCAAAAAATAAATAGATTCCGATTCTCAAATACTACGTATAAAATTTCACCAAAGCACGCCTCTGCTTAACTACTTTGTAAAACAAGCAAGTGTAAACTTGCTTTTAATTTTTAAATAGCATTTTTTATGTAAATACTTCATATATATCCCAACCAATAAAATAAGAACTAGCCAATAGTTATTATAGCAATTAGGAAATAAAATTAATAAGTTAGTTTATTCAGTCATTCAATGATCAATAATTCATAGAATAAGCAAAACAGTATAAAAGCTAGATTTTTTAAAAAAATACTTCCTCCGTCCCTCTTGTCTCGTTTTACCTTTTCGGGAAGTCCCACTATAATTGTCTCATATCATATTTGGTAAAGTTTGTGTGGTTCTAAATCATTCTTACTCTATTCTTACTTTATCAATTAATATCAACCACACAACCCCACTTTTCTTAATAATCGTGTCACTCTCTTCTGCCCCAATATAAGAGGGGCGGAGGTAGTAACATATAAGCAAATTCGGGTGTTTGTACTTTACTGTTCGGTTGATAATTATATTATTGTGTTGCTTTTATTGATCCAAAAGTTGGAATCTCCCACCCCAGGAGCCCCCCACCCTGACCCGACAGGATGGTGGGTAGGTTAGTCACGGTGACTCAGTCAGTAGAATGACAGTAGGCCCATACACCCGTGCGCACCAGAGACCCAGCCTTATTTCAAGTTCTGTGACCTCTACCCGATCGCTACGGGGATTCGAACCTTGGTCAATTGATCCAAATCTTCCACCACTCGACCAAGTGAACTACCTGTGCGGGTTTGTGTTGCTTTTATTACTTGTGTATTGGATGATTTAAGGCAGACAACCGACATAACCCTGAGGACCCAGCCTCACCAGCCTTTAGCAAGGCACGACTCTGAGATCATCCACTATATATACCCATTTTTAACCGATGGATTGAGTTCTCGGACATGTCATTTATTTGAACATTACTTCTTGTACATGCGGGCGTGGATAAGAGCCGGTTTTTTTTTTTGTCCTAACCCGTTAAGAATAGACAGGGATCCGGAATGTTATGGTTCAGGTTCCATACCCGCACGGGTAGCTCAGTTGGTTCAGTGGTGGGAAATTTGGACCAAGTGACCAAGGTTCGAAACCCGCAACAGCCGTGTGGAGGTCACAGAACCTGAAATAAGGTTGGGTCTCTGGTGCGCACGGGAAAAAGGCTTACCATCATTGGGCTGACTGAGTCACCGTGATTAACATCCTCCCAAAAATCCTGTCGGGTCGGGGTATGGGGGGCTCCTGGGGTGGGAGATTCCACCTTTTGGACCAAATGGTTCAGGTTCCATATTGAGTTTGTACGAAAAAAGGATATGGTCAAGGCCCAAACAGTACCAGACTTGGTTCTGGACCGAGTCGGGTCCATGCCTGGTTAAGGATATGACCATTTAAAAATCTGCATTTAATTAAAGTTATACCTACATAATATAAAATCAACACGTTTTATATGAAAACAAATTAACTAATATTACTCTAGGAGAGTTAAAGACACAACTTACTTTAAAGGGTGAGAATTGTAAAACAACTACTTTATTTTTTATAGAGAAAAGAGTCAGATAGGGCCTCGAACTTATATAAAATGTCAAATAAGGCCTTATATATGAGGTTCTGTCCGGTCGACGTCATTTGGGGCAGTTCCCAGTGGAATTTTTCAACGAAATTTTGTGAGCATCTTATTCATTAAATCTAGTTACTCATACCAAATTTCAGCTAAAACTTCAATCGGAAGGCATTCAAATAAATTCTTGAAGATAACTGTGCTTTTAACTAGGGGTGGACTCGGGTCCGGGCCGGGTCCGGGTCGAGCCTAGGCCCGAGCGGGCCGGCGGTTCAAGAATGGTGGACCCGGGACCGGCCCGGGTATCCACCGGGTCCAGTCCGGGTCCGGGTCCGGGCCGGGCCGGGCCGGGCCTCCGGTTTGGAATTTTTTTTTTTTTTTTTTTGCTTTCCTAACCCACCCCCCTCACCCCCCACCCTCCCAAACCCCCCAAACCCATCCTACCCATCAAGCCCAACCCGGGTGGAACCCCAAAAATGAAAAAAAAAATTAAAAAAAAAATCAATTTGGCCCGGGCCCGAGCCCGACCCGGCCGGGCCGGTTCACCAAAATTGAGACCCGAGCCCGGACCCGCCCTACCCCCTGGGCCTAGGCCCGACCCCGACCCGGACCCGAGAACCGGGCCGGTCCCGGTCCCGCACAGTAGCGGGCCGGTCCACGGGCCGGGTGGCCCGACCCGAGTCCAAGCCTACTTTTAACTGCGCACTTAAGTCCATATGAAGTCCTCTTCTTTAAGAAGTCTTATTTTAAGTTCACGGCTATTAAACTTGGGACACTTTTGGTCCTCCGATCACTTATCGCATAGAATAAGAGTTGCCTTTTTAGGGACTTATTTGTCTTTAAAGACATTTATTTAAAACTTGATTCCTATTCAAAAAAAAATGACCATGAAAATATTGATCTGAGACCTGAAATACCATGAATTTTAATATTTTTATTTTGAAAAAAAAAATATTATTTAATTTGATTAAACTAATAAACTTTAATATATACTATAACATGCGAGAAAGTTTAGTCATAAAATAAAATTTTGTGAAGAATAAGTCATCAAAAATTAGCAATGGAATAAATACAAAAATAAATAAATAAAAATATGGATATATTAGGTCTTTGATTGATACTTGTAATCATTCGAATCTACTAATACACTTTATCTTTCTAATTTTTTACTGAAAATGAACTTATCTTTGAGGTCTTGACTCTTGATTGATGAAATTTCTAATTTGTACTACGTAGTACATTGTACTTATACTTTGAGGAAAGTCGGTGCCAATAAGGCAATAACATGCAGATGCAGATCAAAGATTCAATGCCTATATGATGCATTTGTTCATACCAAAGCATCAGTACTAATTAGCTATTTTAGATTGTTAGATACCCATGTTTGCAAATGTTTACTTGCAACTTGCAAGTACCGCATCATGGTTAAGTGAATGTTTGCCTGAATAATTTTGTTAACTCTGGGCAAATGACTGAGACATAGGTTGGTGTGACAGACAGATGTAGGCCTATGTCTATGTGATTTGCTCACAAACATGAGTCATCTTTGACCCGCTCTTAAATTTTCTTCGCACAGACATGTTTTATCCGCAACCTAATAACTTGGCAGACATGCATTTTCAGTAATAAGATACAATGTAGGCAGTGCCATGTGTCCGATTATTATACATAATAAAACCTTAGTAGAAGCGTGAGCACAGTGTCATGCAAGAAGTTCTGCTAATGATTGAGGGGACCTAAAAGCAAGAGAAGGAAGGCACGATAGTGGCCAGAAGTTTCTGAATGAATCGCATCATGCAGAGATTTCTTGTATTTCTTGTGGTATTCTGCTTTGATATACAGCAAGTCGACCTCAGCTCGTGTCACAACTACCCTCGTAAGTGTTGTATCATCTGTCCCCATTCCTTTCATTGCCTTTCGCAATGTCTGTTGAAATTCACAGATGTATACATACAACATTAGAGTTAATGCCAGATTAAGTCCCTCCACTAGATGCTATTACTCAATTAGGTCTTTGACTTACAAATGGACTCATTTAGGTCTTCATCCGTGTAATTTAGACTGAACTTAGTCTTCAGGCAAGTTTTACTGTTATTTGAAGGGGTATTTGAACCACTTAGGTCTATATCGGATCCAAACTACATAGTCGAGTCCTAAGTTGGGCATACATTTAGTGAACTGACAAATGCCTTTCTTATTTAGGTCCAAATCGCATAATCGACGACCAAATTAAGCCTTTAACAAAGTCAAGGACCATGAGTAGTCATTCCCATTTGAACAAAACATATGTGGTCCTTGTCTGACTATGTTCTTTCCCTGCCCAGGTCTTGCCTTATATCACTATGATCTTGTCTAATCCTAGCTTTTTTCACTACATTGAAGGTCACAAAGGGGGCTAGGCCAGTGACTCAAGGACCAAGATAGTCATTTTCCCAATTACCCTAGATTCTTTATTGCAGAAAATGGAATTTTCATGCAAGCAGCATACCTTAGCAAAGTACTTTGCCGGATTCTGAGCACACTGTAAAATAGTCAAGAGGGCAAACTCAAATAGCCCTGAGGTTTCACTTTTAACTGCCTGTGAAAAAAATTAGATGGTATCAGTTGTTGATAGGCATTAGACGGTTATAAACCATCAACACAGGCAATGCCAGTTTCTCACCTTTTTCAACGAGTGATTACACAAGGCATGATAAGCAGATATGACTGCAGCCAAATGTGCCCTGCTTCTTTCAGAGAATATCTGTATGAACTTCTTCTCATCAGTCCCAAGCCTTTTTTCACCTGCCTTATAAAGAGTTTTAGCATCATGTTGCACTGCAGCTGGGTCAACTTCTGGGCCATCATATCGGGGGGCACTCACGTATGCTAGTACCAACTACACACAATATTCCGTAGTAATAATAACAATGATAAATGCCTTGTATTTTAGTAATAGTAATAATAATAGACGTAGTAGTAGTAATATAGCAACAATAGTACGTCACCATAATGATAGTAATGATTATGATATTATATTAGTAATTATTGTTGTTATTATTGTTATACTACCAAAGAATAGCACCAACAATAATAATATTGATATAATGATATAATAGTATTATGGTGATGATTTTTGTACTAGTAGAAATAATAATAATTATTATAATTACTAGGGCTGGCATTTTGGACCGGAAAACCGAAAACCGATACGAAAAAAACCAAACCGTTTTGAAAAAAACCGAACCGAGCCGATATAATTTGGGACCCGAAAATTGGGACCCGATAAAAAGTAAAAAACGGTTCGAAATCGGTTTATAGTGCCAATATATCGGTTTGAACCAAACCGAACCGACATTTTATTAATAATAATTATAATAAATTTATAGTTAATGACCTTTATTAAATGTATATATAACGAAATGCAGTCCTAAAGAAACAAACGAAGTTCTCCAGCAAGATGGTTGTCAAGCGAGTGAATAATACGGATGAGCCGTGTTCGAATCCCGGGGGCGTAATTTTTTATTCAATGCTTCAGTTTCCATTTTGTTTCCACAGCCCTCTTTGTCCCACACCAGAGAAATGAGAGAGTTTCCTCCTCAAAAGCATCTATATATTGCATGTTTACTCAACAAAGTAATCGTGCAAGTCCTTACATACTCCATGAGTTTTTAGCCAAAGTGAAATTGGGCTTTTGAAAACTTGGGAGTTGGGCCTAGTGTATTGAAAAGTTCTAATTTTTTGTTTATTTATTGAAAGTCGGTTTTTGTGTCGGGTTTTGGTAAACCGGCCCGAAATATCGGTTTCCGATAATTCGGTACCCGTTTCTGAACGGTTCGGTTTCGGTTATGATTATATGGATAACCGAAATATCGGTTTGGTTTCGGGTTAACCTCAATCGGTTCAGTACCCGAACCGAACCCAGCCCTAATAATTACTACTACTACATATGCTTTTGTACTTGATATTTCTCGATATGTTACAGGTTTTCTTGAAAATTACTTTTCATACATACTTTTCTAATGCTCTTTCATACATTTTCTCGATTATATAGAAATTTCTGTATCCCAAGATCCATTTGAACACCTCAAAATACAAAAGTTTTGGTGAAAATTTCGTTAATATCAGGATATTTTCATCATCGGTAATTCTGGTAATACGCCTTCAGGATTTGTCTTTTTTATGATAGTTCAACAGGAAGAATCTCTGCAATTGTTAGAAGGATACTACAAACACATAAATATATCAGAGATAGTTGAAAAAGGTTAAAAAAATAGGGCATGGAATCGAGAACATGCCATAATCATACATATCGATCTAAGTCAGTTAGAAAAATGCAATGATCGAAAATGTACCCCACAGGGTTTCAAACATGTAGACATACTCACTCACAAATCCTCTACTCACTTTGAGCTAACCATTCACATGGATGAAAAGGTAGTGAAGACAGACCTTTTTGTGATCCCCAGTCATATGGTTTTCAATATCATGCTCAAGGTAAAGGCCAAACATTGAGTGATAGACTTGTTTAAGGTATTGTAGCTGAGATGGAATCCGTGAACATATCACTTCGGTCACGACCTTGAGATCGGTGGCTTCATGCAAACTCTGCTTGATTATGGTTGCATCTCGTCCTGCCGGGTCAGCCACCCAAAGTAAAACTGCTCTCTGACCGATGAAAATACGAAAATTGAATTCAAGGAAAATGCATATAGAAGATGATAGTGCATATGTTAGGAATAGTATATAGAAGCTACACGTACATTGCTTTGTAATTAATATTAGTTGGGCTTCTGTTATATTAGCTGCAGTTAGTTACAACCATAGCTTCTATAAATACTTTGTACAGTTTTTATTTTTCAATAAGATGATTTCACTCCTTTCTTCTACCTTGCTCTATTTCTAATATGGTATCAGAGCTCTGCTCGATCTACCATGGCGAACTCCGAGTCAAATTCTTCTTCTTCTTCGTCGCAATCAGCTTCTCAGATTGCCAATCAAACCTCGCCTATCATCTTTCATCGTCCTCTACCTGTTAAACTCGATTCAAACAATTTCCTGTTCTGGCGACACCATGTCGAATCAGTAATTCGAGCTCATAAGCTTCTCAGATTCATAGAAAATCCTCAAATACCAGATCGTTTTGCTGTTGATGAAAATGGAACAAAAACAGTTAACGAAGCGTACAACACATGGGAGCAACAAGACCAGATGTTGTTTTCCTGGCTCTTAGCTTCGCTTTCTGAGTCACTTCATGCTCGCGTCATCTGCTGCAAGCACTCGCATGAGTTATGGAGTGAAATTCAGCAATTCTTTCGCTCCAGCATCATCGCGCGAGCTCGTCAGCTGAAATCGGAACTGTATAACACCGGAAAAGGTGATCGCTCTATTTCCGAATATCTGCTTCGTATTCAGACCATTGTGGATAACCTAACATCTGTTGGAGAGCCTATATCCACCAAGGATCACATCAATGTGATCCTTGAAGGTCTTCCTGAGGATTATGAATCATTAATATCTTCTGTCACCTCGCGAAGTATTTTAGATCCAGTTACTTTGTCTGAACTTGAAGGCCTACTGTTGGCTAAAGAATTACGACTGAGAAAACTACGTGACTCCTCACAGCAATCAATATTTTCTGCTAATGTTGCGCGAGTTGAAACTACCTCTCCTACTACTGAAACTGACACTCAGAATACTTCAGAGAATGCCTCAGCTCAAATTGCTCAGTTTGACACTTCTGCAGACAATTCATCCTATAGAGGAAGAGGTCGTGGAGGTTTTAATAGAGGCAGAGGTGGTCGTTCAGGTGGTAGAAGCTCTGTAACTTGTCAAGTTTGTGGTAAAAATGGTCACAGTGCCATTGTGTGCTATCACAGATACAATCCAGCCTATACAATTTCCAGTTCTAATCCTTCTACTATGCATCAATCTCCTTTTCCTTACTCAAATCAGCCTTACCAACCTCAATAGTCTCCTTTTCAATACTCAAACCAGCCTTACCAACCTCAACAGCCTCCTTTTCCTACACCACATTCATATCCAAATCAATACCAATATCAATCATCTCCTTCAAACACAACAAGATATTCACCCAATCCAACCCATCCATCACAGTTTATGCATCAAACACAACCTTATACTCCATCATCTAATCATCCTTCACAGTTCAGTTCATCATCAAATGTGCCAACTGCAGCCTGGGCTTCTGCAAATTCATCTATACTTGGACCAGCTCCCAATACACAAAACTGGTTCCCAGACTCTGGAGCAACACATCATGTCACAGCTGATCCCCTAAACTTTCAACACAGTGAGCCTATTGCTACTACTGATAAGCTTTTTATGGGCAATGGTCAAGGTTTGGAAATTAAGTCTATTGGCTTTTCATCCTTTCCCTCTCCTTATCATTCATCTCTTTCTTTATCTCTAAATAACATCTTACATGTTCCTGCCATCACTAAAAATCTGTTAAGTGTCAGCCAATTTGCCAAGGATAACCATGCATTTTTTTGAATTTCATCCTCATGAGTGCTTTGTCAAATCCCAGGTTTCTAAACAAATTCTGCTATATGGAATCCTTGGTGAAGATGGTCTTTACAAGTTCCAGTCATTTCCAGCTCTTGGGTCTCACCAGTCACCTGCAAAAGTGTCCAAGTCTTATTCACCTATTTCTGTGTGTCCTAGCTCTCTTATGTCTACTTGTAATAACTCTCAGTCAAACATCAATTGTAATATTTGGCATTTAAGACTAGGCCATCCTCATTTTGAGGCTCTTAAGTCTGTACTCAATCTTTGTAATCTGTCTCATTTAAATAAAAATGCTATGGACTTTTGTTCTGCTTGTTGCCTTGGGTAAAGCTCACAGATTACCATCACATCCTTCTACAACTGTATTTCATTCTCCTTTTGAATTGATTTACACTGACTTGTGGGGACCAGCTCCTATTCAATCCCTTGATGGTTATTGTTACTATATATCCTTTATTGATGCCTTCACTAAGTATACTTGGATATATTTTCTCAAAAAGAAATCTGATGCCTTCTTAGCTTTTCAAAACTTCTATCAATATATCTTCAATCAATTCCACATTTCTATCAAATCTATACAATCTGATTGGGGAGGAGAATTCAGGTCATTCACTAAGTTTCTGACTGATAAGGGTATCAATCATAGAGTTATATGTCCTCATACACATCATCAAAATGGTGTAGTAGAGAGGAAACATCGCACCATTGTTGAAAAAGGTCTGTCTTTTAGCTCATTCCTCTCTACCATTCAAATTCTGGGACACTGCATTTGCCACTGCAGTACATCTTATCAACAAACTTCCATCTAAATCTATTGCCAATCTCAGCCCTCACTTCAAACTTTATGGCACCCCTCCTGATTACAATTTCCTCAAAGTCTTTGGTTGCTCTTGCTATCCATTCAGACCTTACAACAAACATAAAATGGATTATCACTCTAAGGAATGTGTTTTTTTGGGATACTCATCTCATCATAAAGGCTACAAATGTCTTTCTCCCTGTGGCAGAATTTATATTTCCAGGGATGTCATCTTTAATGAAACTAGATTTCCATATCCCACTCTTTTTCCCTCAACATCCACTTCATCCACTAGTGTTCCAGTTTCCCTCTCAGCTCCAATAAAAATTCTTCCTACTTTCTTATCATCACAGCCTCAATCTGACAATGATGTCAATACTTCTTCCAGTTCCTCTTCTTTACACACTTCTTCATCCACTGCACCTCAGGATAATACTGCCTCACATAATCATCATCAATCTTCCAATAACTCAACTTCTTCTAACCACCAAAATAACACATCTGACAATTCTCACTCTCCATCATCCTCTGATTCCTCCTCTTCCACATCCCCAAGTCCTCCCCATAACTCTCATCCCATGCAAACCAGGTCAAAATCTGGGATTGTCAAGCCTAGACTTAATCCAACTTTACTGTTGGCCCATATAGAGTCCAAGTCAGTTAAGCAAGCTCTTTCTTCTCCACCTTGGCTTGCAACCATGCAATCTGAATACAATGCCTTGATATCTAACAAAACTTGGTCTCTAGTCACTCTTCCTCCAGGCAAACAGGTCATTGGCTGCAAATGGGTATTCAGAGTAAAGGAAAATCCTGATGGTTCTGTGAATAAGTTCAAAGCCAGGCTGGTGGTAAAATGGTTTCATCAGAGGTTTGGATTTGACTTTGGAGAAACATTTTCTCCAGTAGTCAAACCTGTCACAATCAGAATATTGCTTACACTTGTTGTCTCTCACCAATGGTCTATACAGCAACTTGATATAAATAATGCCTTTCTCAATGGGGATCTTGAGGAAGAGGTCTACATGTCACAACCTCCTGGTTTTCAGGCCAAAGATACCTCCCTTGTATGTAGACTACATAAATCTTTATATGGCCTCAAACAAGCTCCAAGGGCTTGGTTTCACAAGCTCACTTCAGTCTTATACAATGCTGGTTTCAAACAGAGCAAGAGTGATCCTTCTCTTCTTATATACCTCAAACCTGGGATCCAAATTTACATCCTCATCTATGTTGATGACATTCTTGTCATTGGCAACAATTCCACAGTTATCCAACAAATCATTCAAACCCTTCACTGTTCCTTTTCTCTAAAACACCTGGGAGATATTGATTTCTTTTTAGGAATCCAAGTTAAAAAGCTTCCTAATGGTTGTCTGCACCTCCCACAAGCCAAATACACCAGAGATCTTCTTCACAAAGTTGGAATGACAGATTCTAAGGGTGTGAAAACACCTATGGTGAGTACCTGTAAGCTCACCAATGAAGGAAGTGACCCTCTTCCTGATCCCTCTCATTACAGATCTGTTGTTGGAATTCTGCAGTATGCTACTCTAACCAGACCTGAACTTAGCTATGCTGTAAATAAGGTGTGTCAGTTCATGAGTAATCCTTTACAAGACCACTGGAAAGCTGTGAAACATATACTGAGATATCTATCTGGCACTATTACTCATGGACTGATTATCAAACCTCTTCCCTTGACAAAAATACCTCTACCAATCTCAGCTTTCTGTGATGCTGACTGGGCATCAGATCATACAGACAGAAAATCTACATCTGGGTCATGCATTTTCCTAGGCTCTAATATTATCTCCTGGTGGTCTAGGAAACAACTGAGGGTAGCAAGATCTTCAGCTGAAGCTGAATACAGAAGCCTAGCAGACACTACATCAGAACTTTTATGGGTTCAATTTTTACTCAAAGAACTTCAAGCCCCTTTTAAAACTCCAAGAATTTACTGTGACAATCTCAGCACTGTACAGCTAGCTCACAATCCTGTCCTACATTGTCGCATAAAACATATGGAAATTGATCTTTTCTTTGTCAGAGAGAAAGTTCATCTCAAACAGCTTGAAGTTTTTCACATTCCAGCCTCCCAACAAATTGCAGATGTGTTGACTAAGCCTCTATCTGCTTCCACCTTTCTTGAGTTCAAAGACAAACTGAGTGTGATTGATTTTCCAGTTCAATCACCCTCAATTTGAGGGGGGAATGTTAGGAATAGTATATAGAAGCTACACGTACATTGCTTTGTAATTAATATTAGTTGGGCTTCTGTTATATTAGCTGCAGTTAGTTACAACCATAGCTTCTATAAATACTCTGTACACTTTCTATTTTTCAATAAGATGATTTCACTCCTTTCTTCTACCTTGCTCTATTTCTAATAGCATAAAAGAAATATATGATGAAACTTGGCACATTTATTTTCTTAGCTCTTGTTTAGAAGATAATAGATAAGTTTCACAGTTACATTCAGATCTTGTTTGGTTGGAGCCTTGGAGGTGATGAAAAGAAGGGATTGGTGTTAAAGAAGCAGTTGCAGAGAAATGGTCAAATGCAACAGATGTTTCAGTTTCACTGTTTACCTTAACATCACCGCTAAGCTCGGAAGACAAGCGCTTGTGAAGCTCTTCAGAGTACATAGCTCTATACTCCTGCTGGATAAGAGCACGCTGTGAAGCATCCCTATGTGCGAGGATATTGATAACTGCTGCAGTGTCACATCCAAAACCTGGGGCAGATAGAAGGTAAATATGCTGATTACAAATTTACAATTTATATTAGACTATCAATTGATATTGTTTAGAACTTTAGATAATTTATCCCTAAGTATAAGTGTTACATAAGAAAATTACTACTCTGTATCTCATAATTTAAATCATCTATTTTTTTTATTCACATAGGGTGGAGTTAACTTCATGTGAGGTTTCTCCATCAACTATACAGATGGGAATCTAAATGACAAAGTTAGCCCCAACCAGAACTAGATAGCGATTTTTTATACAACTCTGTTCAACTTTCTTTCGAACCAACTTATACAACAGCATCCAAAGCCTTACTCCAAAAAGAGTTTGGGGTCAGCTAACATGAATTGACATATGAAATACTGAAATTAGATTTAAAAAAATAAAAAGATATCAATCCTCCTCACATATACCCTCTCTAAAGTCATAATCTCATCCGATGAATGTTGCAAAAATTAATACAATAAACATGCTGGTAATTCAGGATGAACATTATACCATGTTTGAGCATCTTAAAATGATGATAATGTAGAAGAATCCAGAAAATATTAATTTATAATATTTTCAATTATTACAATTTCAGTTTTAACCGTTACATATCTTTGTAATTAGTATCATAATAATTATTTAGGCTCCCAATGATTGTATAAATACCATCATATGTTTGAGAATAAAGTATGCAGTTGAGTCTGCAATTCTCTCTTCCTCTAAACTCTATTATGGTATTAGAGCCATAAGAGCTCTCACCAGCCCCTCTACCCATGGCTAACGAAGAAAATACAGCCAGCCAGACAGAGAATGAATCTCCAGGAACAAGAAGACCTCGAAAATCCGCTTGCTAAAACCTTGGCTACCCCTTCCAACAACCCCTTCACCCCTGATGGACTCATAATGCTTAACCCCAGTCAATTCCCAGAAAAATTAGACGGTTCTAATTACCTGGTTTGGCGTGACCAGTTTCTTGACCTTCTGTTTGGGTCAGACTGGAGCCGGTATATCGAGGAGGAGACTACACTGCCACCAGAAAATATTAATTTATAATATTTTCAATTATTACAATTTCAGAAGGTGAGCGAGTCTCATAGAGCCGCTCAAGTGTCTTCCAGACATCAGCAGAAGTGCATGCAGAGCCAATTAATGGCTTGCAAGCGGAGCTAAGGGAGGAGACTAGGGTGTGGCGAAGGAGTCAGTCCTGTCGGTTCCATCTGAGACGGCCGATTGCATCGCTCTCTGGTGGCAGTGTAGTCTCCTCCTCGATATACTGGCTCAAGTCTGACCCAAACAGAAGGTCAAGAACCTGGTCACGCCAAACAAGGTAATTAGAACCGTCTAATTTTTCTGGGAATTGACTGGGGTTAAGCATTATGAGTCCATCAGGGGTCAAGGGGTTGTTGGAAGGGGTAGCCAAGGTTTTAGCAAACGGATTTTCGAGGTCTCCTTGTTCCTGGAGATTCTCTGTCTGTCTGGCTGTATTTTCTTCGTTAGCCATGGGTAGAGGGGCTGGTGAGAGCTCTTACGGCTCTGATACCATAATAGAGTTTATAGGAAGAGAGAATTGCAGACTCAACTGCATACTTTATTCTCAAACATATGATGGTATTTATACGATCATTGGGAGCCTAAATAATTATTATGATACTAATTACAAAGATATGTAACGGTTAAAACTGAAATTGTAATAATTGAAAATATTATAAATTAATATTTTCTGGATTCTTCTACAGATAATATGTATTGTGGATGAAGAAACTACATTGGGGAACTTGTATAATGTTTGGATGCAATTTTGTAAACTAACTTCAAGCATCCATGAACTATGAGATAAATTCACACAGATATGTCTATCATGTTGCAACTTGTATCAGAAGGGTAAATTGATTCCAGCCGGTGCTTATTACTTAGTACATGTTGGATTAAGAAGTTATTGGACAAAAGTTAACTCTCTCCTGCTAATCTATAAACTAATAATAATAATAATTAAAATGCATATATTTAGAAACTAGGATAAAAGTTCTCAAATATGAATATGTATAGCTAAAAGAGAATTCAATAGACCCGAAAATAGCTAGTGTAACTTCCATAAAGGGATACAGGGAGCATGTATGAATTGCGACACATAAATGTACAAAAAGTTAGGGAAACATTTAAATTGGAATAACAGGAAAGGGAAAGAAAAGAATCGTAAATTGCTCTTAAGAAACCCAGACCCTAGAATGAAAAAGTACCCTTGAAAGCTTTATAGAGATGCATAGCATCGTCACGAGGGGAAGTTAGCACCGGAGGGACGCTAAAGGAAGCCATAGCCCTCTTTCTCTGATGTCTGTGTTCTCTTCTCGTTCCTCCCTGGGTACACAGTTTTTTGCTTTATTATACATAAATAAGAAATATATAATGGCATTTTCCTTTTCCTTTTGTGTACGGTGTACGGTCGTTAGCAACCATACCAGTGACGTTAATTAACAAAGGGTGTTGTTACTTTGCGCACCTTTCTTTTCTTTTGCTCGCCTTTTCTCGGCAAGAATAACCTTACTCCTATTAAATTTACTTTTTCCCAACTAACACCCTAGGCCGCCATAGCAATTCTCTTCGCGATCTACACTGCTCTACGCTTCCATGGCAAAAGAAGGAGCATCGACATTTAGCTTCATATAAAGCCGAACCCTTGCGATCAACATTTGCTTCCTTCACTGCTGCAATTTTGATTTATTTCTATCTTATTTTCAGACTCCATCTTCCATTGGGGAGTCTTTAGGAACAATGGCGGCCTGGTACAACGAGCATTTGATGTGCGAACTCAGCCAAGTGTAGTTACAAATGATGTGAAAGACATGGTATCACGAGCATTTGATGTAAACTACAATTTTGTGTACACCTTTGCATCTCATGCTCCCTTTTTTTTAATTAAAGCAACTCTAAGTTGTTAGTTGTCCCACCAAACTTCATTTCCTATTAAAACAATTAATTTGTAGTTCTGCGCATTTCTTTCTCCTTTGCACAAATTTCAACCACACATTTTTACTATAATTATTTCTCACCTACTTTGCACTTGTCAAAGTCCACCAGGACGGAGAGAATATAAAAGTTTCCCTTTTTTTTACCTCACTTCCTTTCCAATTCAAATTTTTACCCATCTTTCTTTTGTCTTCCACCCATCCAAATCTCCCGCCCCATACTTCTGCACCCACCCCTCGACTTCGAACAGACCTTCCGAATTCCGAACGACAACCTAGCCAGCATCTACGTCAGATGAACTGCCTCCCACCCATGTATGTCGCTGCTACAAAGGTGTGGCGCTGCAACAATCGACGAATGGAGGTGGACGAAGACTGCTCCAAGTGAACGAAGGTGAATGAAGGTGTGGCGCTGGACGAGCGTGGAGTTTGAAGACCGCTCCAAGTGGATGAAGGGTTTGCGGTGCAACTCTAGACGGGCGAAAAATGCAGAGAGCGGCCGAAAATCGGTTGTTGTCAGGTTTGAGGGCTTTAAAGATTCACTCAAATAGTGAGTGTTTAAAGTTTGAATCTATGGTGCGAAGTAGTTTGACATATTCTAATTAAACAAGAAAATTAAAATGACATAATTTCTTAGTAATATTGAGTGTTTAAAGTTTGTCTGAAAGTTTGAAAGGTAATATTCTAATCCTTCCGTAGTACTCACCTTTCTATGGTATTTACTCAAATAGTGAGTGTTTAAAGTTTGTCTGAAAGTTTGAAAGGTAATATTCTAATCCTTCTGTAGTACTCACCTTTCTATGGTATTTATTTTAATTAAACAAGACATAATTTCGTTTCTGTGATTTAAGAGTTGTCTGAGATGTTGTTTGTGTGTTGTGAGATTTCTGTCATTTGTTTTGAATTGTCTGTGAGGAGTTCATTAATGTCTGTGATGTTATAAATAGATGTATGTCATTCATATTTTCTTGAATGTCATTTGTTCTAAATTGTCTGTATTTGTTTGGAGTTGTCTGTGAGGACTTTATAAATGTCTGTGATGTTATAAATAGATGTCTGTTATTCATATTCCTTGTTTGTCTGTCACTTGTTTTGAATTGTCCGTAAAGAGTTCATAAATGTTTGTGATGTTTTAAATAGATGTCTATCACTCATATTTCCGTGTATGTCATTTGTTTTGAGTTGTCTGTATTTGTTTGGATTTGTTTGTAAGGATTTTATAAATGTCTGTGATGTTATAAATATATGTATGTCATTCATATTTCCTTGTTTGTCTGTCATTTGTTTGGAGTTGTCTGTAAGGACTTTATAAATGTTTGTGATGTTATAAATAGATTTATGTCATTCATATTTCCTTGTTTGTCTATCATTTGTTTGGAATTGTCTGTAAGAACCTTATAAATGTCTATGATGTTATACATAGATGTCTGTCATTCATATTTCCTTGTCTGTAAGGACTTTATAAATGTTTGTGATGTTATACATATATGTTTGTCATTCATATTGACTTGTCTGTCTTATGTGGTGTGCATTTTTGGACATGCATGTGATGGGGCTTTCAAATTGAAAATTTCTGTCCACGACCACTTCCCTGCGCAATACTCACTATGCTCAGAATTGAAAGACGGTGCAACGTTGGTGAAATCATCTTTGTCTGTTTAGCACACTCACTTTATCAATTCATTATCAATCACATAACTATATTATTCTTAAAAATCACATCACCCTCCTTTGCTCCAATGTTAGGGGGCGGAGGTAGTAGTATATATTAGGGTTGACAGGGTTGGCGGGGCGGCTTCCCCGGCCCACTTGATACGTCACTCAGAGGCCAAATAGAGTAGAACTATGCGCTAATCTTCTAGATGTTGTGGTCAAATAGAGTAGAACTATGTGCTAATCTTCTAGATTTCGATTGGTCGTTTGATAGTGATCTTCCATTGTTGCGGATGTACCCCATCCAAATTCTCAGACCCCTGATCCGAGCTCATTGACGACCCTTGATCAAGACAATCATGCGGGAGAATTCTCAAGTGAAGGTCACAAGGAAAATAACATAAATGTTAGTCTTGAGGCAGATGGGCATCTGTGTATCCTTGGCTACTATGGCAACTAAATCTACCTATAACGTGATGGTGCAATCAATGCATGTGACAATATTTGTAAAAATAAAAATTTGCACTTATTCAATTAATGAATTTTTATAAGTATGTTTTATCTTAGTTGTGAACAGATTATTTACAAAAAATATACTGTATTTAGATATGTGTACAGAAAATGTTCTACCTCCCGTACTTTAAGATTGAAACTAGAGGGAGTGATTCAGTTATTAAGAAAAGTGAATTTGCATGATTGATATTGAATTGAAAAAATAAAATAAAATAAAAAAAACTGTAACCATCCAAATAATATAAAATATGTTACAAAATAAACTCCATGGGGAAAAAAGTATCACCTCCGTCCCGAAAAGGTTCGCCATATTGACTTTTCTTCGTCAATGATGGCGAACTTTGGCCAATGATTTTTATTATTCTATTTATATATAATTTGAAAATTTTATACTTTAATGAAATTTTTTTGAATGAGGAACATTTTAATATAATTTTCATATTCAAATTAATTTCATATTAAAAAATATCATTAGTCATTATAGTAAAATGAGTTTGTCAAACCTTTTCGCTAAGGAGAGTAAAACGTGATAAAGACAGCGGCACAGACCAATTTATTTGCTTTTAATAAAAAAAGAAAAAGAAAATCTCCTCTGCTCCCTCGTTTATTCATCACCTCCTCTCTCGCGGTTTGACCTCGATTCTTCTTCTATCTGTACAAAGCGCATCAGATCTCTCCAGTAAGATTGCGAGCCCTTCCCCTGTATTTTCTCTCTCGATAATCTTACTCTTCCATTCTTGAATTTTTTGATTCCTAGTGAGCTCGTTCTTGTTATTTGTTTTCTTTTGCAATTTGTTTATACTCTTGTTCACGTATATTATTTTTCTGTGGTTGTTATATTTTGAATACGTTATGTAGTTTTGGGATTGAAGAAGAATAGTAGAAGCTGTTCAAATTGAATCTTGGCAGCTGTTTTGGCTTATTATTCTGTTGATCAAGTCATCTACTTAAGAAAAGATTAAATTTTGATGAATTACTAGTTTTGTGCTATGATTCTAAAAACATATTTAAACATAAAAAGAATAGCCATCCACATTGATGTAGCACTATTTATAACCTTCCTCACATTTGGTTCAAATATTTACCTCATCTCATGAAGTGTAATTGTATACATGATATTGATGAAAATTAAGCAAAATATTTATGTATATTGGCTCTCTTAAGATTTGAAAAGTAAATAAAGAAGATATCCCAACAAACTCCTGGAGTCTAATATAAGACTCCTTTCTAACAATGCTTTAAGCATAACTTTTTTTGGTTTTGAATTTTGATAGTTCCATATGAGGATGTGAAGTGATATATGGGAAACTTTTAACTGAAAAGTTAATATGATACTGAAACTATGTGAAGCGGATTAAGATAAATGAGCCTAGTGCTAAAATGGGAATAGCCGAATAGTTTGTACACAATTTATTAGAATATTTGTATTCATGATTTTAGACTCATGTGTATTAAGAATAGTGAGTGGTGTTTACAAAAACTATGAAGCCTTTCTATGAGGTATACTAAAGTAAAACTCAGTAGCATATATGCTCCAAGTATTTGGTGTTTAAAAAACTGCAGTTATAATACATGTAATACACTTATACAGTAAGTAAATAACTAACTAACAGGATAAGGTAAAAAGTACTACCTCCGTCCCATAAAATAGTTCCCACTCCGATTTGGATCGGAGTTTAAGAAAGTGGGAATAAAGTGGAAATGTATGGTTTTGGTTGAGTAAGAAAAAGGTTAATGAATGGTAGCCACACAAAACTTTCTAAAAAGGGAAATGAGAACTATTTTTTGGGACAACCCAAAAAGGAAAGTAGGAACTTTTTTATGTGACGGAGCGAGTATTATAGACTGATCTCACTTAATATCGTTGGACTTCTTCATTTTTTATTCGTCATTTGTAATTCATTGTATGTTCTTTCTGAACAATACTACTTGGGGAAACACTGAAAAACAACCCAAGCAACATGCTCACAGCAACTGAAATTCTGGAATTGAGTCCCGACTTTGATGACTATTTGTAGTTTTTTTATGTTACATAAGACTTTAACTCTGGGGTGTTGTGAGCAATGGCTGAGTGCAAGTTGTATCTCTCGAATACCTTGAGCCACTAAGCAACAACTACATTAATTGTAGTTGCATATGATAACCACTAACCAATGGACAGCTGGATCATGTTTTTTCTGTGCAATCTAAAACATATATAAGGAGTATATATCAAGATAGGAATGTTATGCCGGTGCACAGGAAGATATCTTTTTTTGTTACAGTATATATTATTAGATCTTTTCCCACATAATTAATGTGATGTAGGCATAGTGATAAAGGGCAGCCCGGTGCACAAAGGTATCCCTCAAGGTGTGGGTCCAGGGAAAAGTCCCACCACAAGGGTTTATAAGGAGCAAGTCTTCCCCTGTCAAATTTTGACAAGAGGCCGCTCCCAAGACATGAACCCGTGACCTCTCGGTCACACAACAACACCTTAACCGGTGCGTCAAGGCTCCCCTTCAATATTTTATATCTAGATAATTCTGAATTATTATTTTAAGATATCAATTAATGAATGTGTAATATAAGTTATATAAATCTCAGTTTTAATAATATACTTATATATAGCTTGATGATTTTTGTAATTTTAAAGTATCCTAATTAGACAGGTTACAGTTTCTTATTCTTCATATGGTGAATGACTTGTGAACATACTTGGGCCGGAAATAATTGGCTTTTGAACGCCTCGTTTAGTCATATTAACTCTCAACACACTGCATTTATTTATTTATGGCCTTATATGTTTAACTCCTCTTTTTATGTATAGTAAGATGTTTACACTCGAGTTAGACTCCCTAGGAGGCTAGGAGGGTTACTGGAGGTTTACCCTGCCATTATCAGCAGAGACTGAGGGGTTATTCGGGCCGATAGGTTCTGCACACAGATTTTATAAAAAAAGAAAAGTAAAAAATACACTTTGTGTTGCCTTTCTAATCAAGCTTCTTTTTTTGTTCATTTTTGTTTTCCTTTAAATATTTCACCAGCTTGTTCTCCAAAGCATGGCCTTGGTAACCACTGCAGAAGTATGTGATGCAAATCCGCAACTGATTGTGGGTGGGGAGCTCCGTGCTCTCCAGCCAATTTTCCAGATATATGGAAGGCGCCAAGTTTTCTCCGGCCCAATCGTTACCTTGAAAGTGTTCGAAGACAACGTTTTGATCCGCGAGTTTCTGGAGGAGAAGGGTAATGGAAGAGTTTTAGTGGTTGACGGCGGTGGCAGTTTGAGGTGTGCAATTTTGGGTGGCAACCCTGTAGTGCAAGCCCAAAACAATGGCTGGGCCGGGATTGTGGTCAACGGATGCATAAGGGATGTTGATGAGATCAACGGATGTGATATCGGGGTGAGAGCTCTGGCTTCCCATCCGATGAAAGCCAATAAGAAGGGTAATGGGGAGAAGCATGTCCCAATTTCCTTGGGTGGGACCAGAATCTGTGACGGAGAGTGGCTGTACGCAGATACTGATGGCATTCTCATCTCCCGGACCGAGCTATCTGTTTGATCGATAATTAGATGCGCTTCTTGGCCTGGCCTAGTAAGCTGCTAAAACTTTTACTACAAGTAAAACTTTGAACCACTTATATTAATGGGGTCAGGTGATGATCAGTAATCTTGTGTTGGAAGATATTTTGATGGACATTAACAATTACCCACGTTTCATTCTTGTTTCTAAAGGTATCTCACTGTTGTTATTTGCATTTTGGGTTTGTGTTGTTGCCTTTTCTCCGTCTTGTTTTGTTGTATACTATAAATATTGTTCTCTGACGTTGATCTTTCGTCAATGGTGAAAGGGTTTGTAATGACATTATTATTATGTTAGAATTATTTCATCATCAGTAACTAAATCTTGGAGGTATTGTTTTTGTCTGCTTGCTTACCACAACAACAATAACATCCAAGCCTTAGTCCCAAAAGATATTGGGGTTCGCTAACATGAATAGATACATGATATCACCATCGAAAGAAAAAGAAAGAAAAAAAAGAAAAAAAAGATAAGTTATTATAAAAAGAATATAAAAAGAGATGAATATACATAAAAATGATACAAATAATGCTTATATATATATATATATATATATAAGGATAAAAAATAAGGAAAAAAAGATGAGGGGAAAAGATGATACGAGATCACTCATTCACACGAATACTCGCCCTCCACATAGTTCTTTCCAAAGTTATGCCATCATCCAACCCCAGAAGAAGCATATCACTTCGAACTCCCTTAACCCACGTCTGTTTGGGTCTTTCTCTCCCTCTCTTCCATGCCTCTTCTCCACACATCTCAACTCGTCTGATAAGTGCATCACTTGGTCTTTTACGCACATGACCAAACCACAGTAGGCGTGACTCCCGCATCTTGTCTTCAATAGGTGCTACTCCCACCCTTTGTCTGATTGTCTCATTTCTCACGCGGTCCTTCCTAGTATGCCTACACATCCAACGCAGTGCGCATCTCTACCACACTCATCTTTTGAATGTGACATTGTTTCACTGTCCAACACTCTACGCCATACAGTAATGCAGGCCTTCCCGCTTGTATTTTTAGTTGAAATTTGGTATAGGTAAACTAGACTTAATGAAGAAGATGCTAAAAAAAAATCATAAAAAAATTCCATCGGGAACTACCAAAAACGACGACGACCGGACATAGCCTCCTATAAAAGGGGTGATTTGCATTTTTTCGATTAGTTCGAAGGCTGCACAAGTTAAAACTTAACTTTAAACGGAGAGGGGAAGTCCGCTATTTGAGTTCATCAGAAGGATTAAAAAAAGAATGACAGCCCATCCCTGAGGGTACCCAACCCCGACAGGATGTTACGTTGGAAGGATGTAAGTTGGACTATAATCACAATCTGACAAATAGAAAGTGAGACTATAATCATAAATCTGTCCCGGTACTTGAAGAGGCCGTATGCTTTTTTAGGGTGATAACTCTTCATCACAAGTTGACCAGATTTGAAATAGAGAAACCAGCGGAGGTGAAATAGAGTCCATAGGGAGTGAGAGATGCATGACGAGGAATCGCGCCGTCGTCGTCGTCGTGTGGTGGGATTTATTGTGCAGTCCACTCACGTAAACCTTCCAAAACTTAAATCTCGAATTTTAATACCACTATCACGAACAGTTCCATTCTGAACTTCTGATTTTTCTGCGTTTGTTTTATTCTCTGAATTTATTAATGGAAACAAGGAACTGCAAGTCCCTCCGATTGTCAAGTACTCCGCGCTTTGTCTTTTCACTGACCGATTTTACCCCACTATCTCCCGGTACAAACACTTGCTTTTTTTCCAGGAAGTTTCTCATGAATTTTAAAGCTCATTCTTAATCATGAAAAACTGGATATGTATTCTTCACACACAAAATCTGCATTTATTCAACACATTACTTTGCCATCATCATTTGCAAGTTCTATCTGATTTTACAGTGAATTTACTGTGAAAGTAACTTTACTTAGGAATAGTTAACATTAGATGATATCTGGCAACAGGCAGGTAAAATGCATATCCTGAGCCTAGGCTAGCTAAGTGACCACCATTCACCCAGCACTTCTATACTTGATCACTGTTAGTTCGTCACCATTGTAATTGATGTTCATTGGAATGTTTCAAGTAAAATTGTATCATTGTAATGTAGATTGCTGTGGTAGAAACCATCAAACCTATGATTTACTTTTTTTGCCTGAATCTCTAGGGTATGTCCGAGTCTATTGTGAGATTGGAGCATCATAAGTATTATTCTAGACTACAAATATCCATTTGAGACTGGGCAAAGAATTTGTATAATTGGGTAGGAAACAAATATTAGAGATTTTCATTTTCCTTTTTCCATTTTCACCCATTCAAACTTGAACACGTCATAGCGGCCTGACACTGCTATATGGAACACAATTAAACCTGAATTATAAAGAGGTGCAAGTCATGCAAAAATGCAAAATAAGCTTAATGTTTTGGATGTTTGTAATATAGTGTTATCTTTCTGTTACACTCATCAAAAGCTCAAATGGAATAAATGTTTTTTTGACCTATTCCCCATAGTGATATTGTGAACCTGTGAATTGTGATAGTGTGATGCAATATTTACCTTACCCAATTAAAGCCAAAACTCATAAATAGCTAGAGGCTTGATAAAAAGATTATTTTGAGCCAATACAGGATTACATGCTCGACATATGGTAATGGGATAATAAGTTGTTAAATTTATGCCACAACATTTAACAACTTATTATCCCATTACCATATGTCGAGCATGTAATCCTGTATTGGCTCAAAATAATCTTTTTATCAAGCCTCTAGCTATTTAGAATTAGGTTATACCGACGATAATTAGATTAATGTCATCCATCTCTTCACATCAGGTGAATATCCCATAAATGACTTGCATTAGCCTTTTTTGAGCTTTCAATGAATTGAAATGTACAACCTAGCTAATTACCCCATTAGCAATTTCCTTTGTTCTTTTTTTAATCCCTCAATGACTTCAAGTCAAACTTGAACAAAGCTGGCTTTTCCATCCCAAAATGTCACCAAACTGTGCAAGGTTGTCATCCATTTATCTTCATTTCAGTATTTCACCACTAAAGTCTAAATAATGACCCAATGCATGCTAACCACACATTCTTTGGCCTAGTCTCATGGTTGTTATATTGAATTATTGATTCCACCATTATGTTACATATGACATTGTGGCTTGTTCCAGAAATGGTAGGATGATATTTAACGTAACTTCTTTCATTTTAAGTACTCCGTATATTGTTTTCATGAAAGCATTGTGATTTTGTTTTTTTTTACGTGAAACGACCACTTATATAGAAAGTCGAAAAATGAGATTGTATGTAATTAGTTGCCCTTTGGAACTATGTGGAAAATTGTGTTTTTTTAAAAGTGACTAATTGAAGAAAATAAAATGTGTCATTCGTCAGTTTACCATCATAAATGGAAAAACTTGTGGTACTGGTGTACTGCAGTATGCACAATTGTGCATAACGCAGAATGCATATGACTAGACATGTTCTGTTAGAATCTCTCTTCATGTGTTTGCCACAGTTTTCCAAGTGTTGAGATGGATAATAGCTGCTTAAGTTTGTATGGTATAAGTATGTGTGCCAATGGCTTTATTTTCAATATTAACGTTAACTTTGTTCCATTCAGAAAGGGCCTGGACAAAGTACACTGGCTTTTGGATCCGACAAGTGAAAGCAATCTTCAGTTATTTGCTCTTGCTTCTATATGGATCTCTAGCAAAGTAAGTCTTGCCATGTCAAATGTTTACCTTTACTCCATGGCCTTGTCATCAATTTGTTTTCCTTTTCATTACATTTTCTTTCTGAAGTAACCTTGTAGTTTCATCTTACTTTTTCAGATTCACTCATCTCCTCCTCTTTCTTTCAAGAGACTGAAGTCATTGGGAGACAAGAGTATTTCTGAGCAACATTTTACAACAAGAGACTTCTTAGATGCAGTAAGCTAGCTATTTTTTATAAGGTTTCAAGGGTGTATAATTCCATTTTCTAATTCTCCAGGTGGTGATAAGCTACTTTGCAGGAGCTATTGCTAATGCAGGTACCTAGCATTTTACCCAGGCTCTTGTGTCATTGTGTGTGTTTTGTTAAGTATGTGTTTCTTAATCTTCCTCTCTGGACACTTCTCTTCCTCATCAAACCTCTCTGTAAACTCTTTTCACGCCACTGGATAGGAAGTAGGAGGCCAAATCTTGATTAGTTTTTTCTTCCACACCACACATTTTGTATATACTTAGCGCATATTTTTATTTTTCACAAGGCATTGAAATATGAGATTGGCGTGTCATGCATTGCCTACGTATTCCTTGAGGATCTCATTATTCAATTGAAGTGAGTGTTCTACCAAACTGGACATGTTGACAATTTTTCCAACTTCTTGAAGTTTCATTTGTTTTAGATACAACTGAAAACAGAAGCTTTATTTGTTGGTAATAATACGTTGTGATTGTTTTTTGTGCTCTTGCTATCAACTTCATTACCTAATTACCCTATTCTTTTGATGACTCCACTCCATTTGAGTGGCTTTAGGGATGTTGCACGGGTGGGTGAACATGTGAGCTATGAAGCTTGCATGGATATCATGGACCTACTCTATGAAACGGAGGAGACTTCGGTTCTTTTCACTACTTCGAAATGTTTAGCAGCATCTATATTGGCATGATTTTTCTGTTCTTTATTATGATTCACAACAACACATTTCATTGAACATATTATACTCTGAATCTGTCATTGATTGTGCAATTTGCAGGCTGCTACATATGTGATCACAGTTCCTGTACAACGATGGGAGTTCCCTATTCTTCCTTGGGGTAAGATTGCAAACACAGCATATTAAGAGCCTGTTTGGTAGCACGAAAATCGGCTGATTTGGCTGATTCTGCTGAAATTTATGAAGTTCTGTCTGAAGTGGTTGCATTGGCTGATTCTGCAGATTTAAGAAAAAAATAATTTTAAAATATATTTTATTAATAAAATAAGGAAAAAATTATATGTAAAAATAGCTAAAATGATCGTCTACAGTAACTTCAGCCAATACAGCCAGAAAAGTAACTCTACCCTTACTTTTTTTGCTTATTACACAATTCAGCGCGCGAAAGCAAAAGTTATGTGTTTGGTGAAAAAACTGGCTGATAAGCCTGATAAGCCGAAAAAAAGTATTACCAAACGGCCTCTAAATTTCGTAATCCATTCCTGGCAGGGGAATTAAATTCTGTAACGACAGTACATTGAAAGTATTAATCATTACCAAATCTTTAGATTCTGAGTTTAACGATTGAATCCCAACTATAGTAGGGTTAATGCGTAATTTGGCTTGAGTAAACTGTAAACTTAACCTAAGTTCATGTACAATGAAAAGTAGGAAACATCAAACTCTTTTTTGGAATATTTGTAGTGATGGTGAGGATAGCTTTTTTGTTATGTGATTGAGATTATGAATTGTGACCTAAAACTGTCTGTGAGTAATTTATGCAGTTAACAACTAGCCTTAAACCCCAATAAAGGAAAGTTGTGGTAGATTGACACTCAGTGTAATTATTACTCAGTGAGCAATAGCTTCAGGTAAGGCCGTTAAAATATGGAAGGCGGAAATACTTCATAAGTTATCACATAGTTAGGTCATCTAAGTTTTAGTATATACAGAATAGATTGACAAATCTAGGGAAGAGTCTGGATAGTTAATTAGCTATTGTAATCACTGGTGAAGGATGTAGTTGAGATACAAACGAAGAATGTTATAGTTATGAGACTAACCTCAGTTGCGGTAAAGAGTGCACCCCGAGTAGAGCTAGAAGAATTGGTTAAACAAGTTGTTGAGTCCCTGTTCTCTTGATTTTTTCCTTCAACTTATTCCACAATTACATGGAAAAGTATATTTTTATTTCAAAGATGGTCTCATCTTTTATCAAAGATGGTGCATTTTAGGGGTTTTGTATAGAGCATTTACAGGACAGGCTGGACAGCTATAGGTTCAGGTTGTCATTAGACAATTTTGTTTCTCCCATACAGTACCGCTCCAGATATAAAAGGAAATGCATCCACCTTAGAATTGTTATTACGGAGTACAGGGGTAAGACTGCGTACATCCGACCCTCCTTACCCCACCGTTGGTGGGAGCCTTTGCAGTACTAGTTTTGGTGAGAACTGAGAAGTGGATAGTCAGAGGGTGTTTGGATCTACTTCTTGAAATGTTTGAGTGAAAGTGCAGAAGTACTTTTGGGTGCTTCGAATTACTCCTAGAAGCAGTTTTTTAGAAGCTAGGAGAGACCAGATTCTAGAAAACTATTCTGATTCTGCTTCTACTTTTAAAAAAGAAATAGAAGCAGAATCAATTCCAAACACCCCCTTACTCAGTTGCACTGGTGGACCATGCTCGAGATGTTCAGTAATATCACCGTGATTGTTTGTCAAATTATTAATTAATTTCATTTATTTTTTATCTAAATGTCTAGGTCTCTAGGATGCTACCATTTCGTGTTATTTTTTATTGGTAATCCAATTAAATTGTGATCTAGATAGGAGTCAATTAGGAATAGTAGAAACTGGTACTATGGAATATGGATTGATAGTTCAGTAGTTCAACCCTAGTTTAGCATTCATCATCATAGTCCACTAACTCTCCACTTGATATTGGCCTTGTTTGGTAAATGGTTGTTAGTTGTTGCTGGTAGCTGGTTGTGTCAGCTGTTTCGAAACAGCTGGTTGTGTTAGCTGTTTTGACCGACTGGTTATGTTGGCTGATTATAAATAACTGTTTGGTAAAATTGACTCTTTCGAAATGGCTGATAGAGTGTAAATTGAACCAGCCAAATGAAGAAGTTGCTCCCCTTAGCTTCTTCCACAATCCATTTTTTCAGCTTTTCAAACTCAACAAGCTAATTTTAAAAGCCATTTACCAAACATTATTATTAGCTTCTTTTACTAATCAAACAGTTGAAATGGGTCAAACAAGCTAAAAGCTGGCTGATAAGCCATTTGCCAAACATACCCATTGTTTTTCGTTGAAAAAAGACACGGCAGCCTTTTTTCAAGCACAACACAATTTTGATTTTTGAAGGGCCCAGGAGAGAGTTCTCTGCTCAGAGATCTTAAGAAATACGGAGTATTTTATTCCATTTGGTCCTGTTTTTAAGGTACAGTTTTGGTTTTTACCAAACCAATGAAATGTTTAAATTCATTAAAAATCGGATGTTCGTGTGTGGATGTGAACGAGGGTTTTTTCTAGGGGTGGGCATTTCGGTTTCGGTTTGGTTTCGGTTTAATCGGTTTGATAGAAAATGTATCAAATACAAATCGATTAAGTTTCGGTTTGGTATGGTTTGGTTCGGTTTGGAGTTCGGTTTACCAAAGTATCAAGGTTTGGATTGAAAAAAAAATTAATTCAAAATAATGAACCAAGAAGCGATAGTAATGAACAAAATATAATGTTAGATATAAATTTGCAAACAGTAACAAAACATATATGAACCAAAAATATATAAGCATAACACATTTGTAAGTAACAACAACGGGAATGAATCAAATTATATATAAAGCTGAAACAAAAACAAAATTGATGTTTGTAAGTAATGAACCAAATATATAGTAGTAAGATATAATAAATTATAGTTAAATACTATCTACTTAAGTCACTATAATTGTTATAGTTGTGAATGTAACTTTTGTAGTAAACTCTAATCCTGGACACTAAAATTAAAGAATTAAAGCTTCAAAAAGATTAACATCAATCAAATTAATGAGAGAAATCTTATATTTTGGTTTGGTTTGGTATTAGTTGGTTTTGATTTGTTATTTTAAAAAAATAAGAAATTATTTCATTTTTAGATTAGTTCGGTTTTATTCGATTTTATTCGGTTTTATGATTTCGGTTTGGTGTGGTTCGGTTTAATACGGGTTGGGAGGAATACTACCAAATTACAAATGGTTCGGTTTCGGTTCGGTTTAATTCGGTTTGGTACGGTTCGGTTCGATCAAACCGAACCGTTACGCCCACCCCTAGTTTTTTCTGATGAAATTCGGTATGTTAGTCCTCAACTCGTAGTTGGTCACATAAAAATATAAAATTCTTCCATCTTTTCATTTGGGTTGTCTCAAAAAATTCTTCACACTTTCCATTTTTGGACAATTTGTGTGGTTCACATTGATTTTACCTCTTTTTACATAACTATAATCATACATTTTCATTTTACTCTCACATTTTTTATTATGCGTGCAAGACAATGTGGGAAGTATTCTTTTGCGACGGAGGGGGAATAATAAAGTACTATTGTGGTGCAGTTGTGTTTGTCACTTCATGCAAAGAGCAGGAGATTGTGAATATAGTCAAAGTTATTCTAAGCCATGTTTTTGAATCGGGCCCACGGCTTTGATTTGGAAGTATCTTTCGCTCTTTATATCTTTCTGAAGATCAAGCACAAGGATGCGACCCCAATCACACGCTTAGTCAAAGGTCAACAAACGCAGCCATACGTTGCACCGTCCTTAAAAAATTGTTTCAGATCGTCTCCATGGATATTTATGATATGTTTCTTTTGCAAATGGGGACATCGCTTGATATGTTTAGTATTGTCAAACTTGCTTTTGAAAACTTGCTTCCAAATTTAAAACTAATAATTTACCATTAGAGCATTGCTTTCCTTTTGCTTGAGAAAACTAATTAGCCAAAAGAAGCTAGTAGCTTGAGCAAAAAGAATTACTATGTAGTACTACCTCTGTCCCTCTTATATTGGGTCAGAAGAGAGTGACACGATTATTAAGAAAAGTGGAGTTGTGGTTGATATTAATTGATAAAGTAAGAATAAAGTAAGAATAATTTAGAACCACACAAACTTTACCAAATATGATATGGAACAATTTTAGTGGGACTTCCTGAAAAGATAAAACGGGACAATATAAGAGGGACGGAGGGAGTACTAAGTATAGCATTGTTAATACGAAGTACTACGTAATAAATAAAGAGGAAGATGTTATAGCTAACCACCGAAGTGCATTTTAATTTTGCTGCAAATATTTATGTGGTTAGTCAAGCTATGAAGATAGTTAGTTAACCACCTAAGATGCTCTCACATGTTATTTTATTTCATTTTTGACTTCTTTAAAAAAAGTATCATCTTTTAATTTATATTTAGTTCTTGTGGAATAATATCCTATACTACGGTAGTACGGTGCAGATTTCAAGGGTGAGAGATTGCGAGAACCATATGAAATGCAAAGGTACCAAAAGAATCCTAAAAATGAATTGCTATTTCACCAAACTTAGATAATATTGACTTTAGGTTGACCTAACATGTGAATTATACACGTATGCTTTGATTTTTTTTTGTGAGAAAACGAATGCTTTGAGATAAAGCAGGGATAATAGTGATATGGACCAAGCGTTTTGTTTCCATTATTTCATTCTAATTAATGGGCTATTAATGGTGATGTTATATGTCAGGAAAGACTCCTATGAATTGAATTTCATACGTTTGATGTGATGTAATCTTATCTCGTCGTATACGATAATTGTTTGCTTTGCTTCATATGATGTGTTTAGGTCTTTAATTTATTCTCATTTCGTCTAATTCCATGTTATACTCTCTCCATTCTCTATTACTTAGGGTTTGACACAGTGTTTTAGAGTAAATGAAACATTACGAAAGACATTCCAAAATGGAAATTGAGACAATTATTAAAGAACATTATTATTTTATTGTGTATCTATTATGGAACCTTATCTATTAGGTTCATGCATGTTTGTACATATTTAATTCATGATTTTTTTACCGAATACCTTATTAAAAATGATCTGGTAAGATTGAATCAGATAATCACGGAGGTTCAGATTATTCTTGTGTAGCCCTACCCCGTATTCTTGCGAACAGATTTAAGAGTATGAAGGTGAAATCGGGTGAGAAGATCCAACACATATTTGGCTTGAGACAAAAATAAACCAGAAGAATTCCGCATAGCCTGAACCCTCAAGAAAAAACGAATATCCCCTAAATCCTTCATAGCAAAATATTTCCCTAGGAGAGAAATAAAATTACTAATAAGAGTAGAGGAACTGCCAGTCATAATAATGTCATATACATATAAGAGCAAATAAATGATACATGTAGCTTGACGAAAAATAAATAAGGAATTATCAGCACGACTACATACAAATCCATGAGTGAGAAGAAAACTACTGAAACGATGAAACCACGCCCGGGGAGCCTGTTTGAGACCATAAATGGCCTTGCGCAAGCGACAAATGTGATTAGGAATTTGAGGATGAACAAACTCAGGTGGTTGACGCATGTAAACCTCTTCTGTGAGATGACCATGAAGAAATGCATTTTTAACATCTAACGGGCGAATATACCAATTAAAAGAAACAACTAATGTAAGAACAATGCCAACCGTGGTGAGTTTAACAACAGGACTAAAGGTTTCAGAGAAATCCACCCCAGCTTGTTGCTTAAACCATTGGGCAACCAGACGTGCTTTATGACGTTCAATAGAGCCATCAAACTGATACTTAGTTTTATAAATCCATCTAGACCCAACCAAATTATTGCTAGAGTCAAACGGTACTAGATCCCACGTTTTATTAGTGATAAGTGCATTAAATTCCTCAGCCATAGTTACTCTCCATTTAAGATCCTTATCAGCCACAAAAAAACTAGTTGGATTAGGAACCAAAACCTCAGTGTTCAAGTTAAAAATAGTTTTGGGTTTAAAAATTCCTGATTTAGAGCGAGTTTGCATGGGATGAATATTTTGAGTCAAAGAGGTGCCAAAACCGGAACATGAGTGACCTCTTCACCGCCAACCTGCGAGGATTCCACAGAAGCATTGCTCGCCGGCGTCCCCGGAGAAGACGGAGCATCTGCCGGTGAAGCTAGCTACTGGTCCGAAGAAGCTGCCATCGGCGAAGAGGACTGCAGCGAAAGAGATGAACTGATTTCTAAGGAAAAATCCAGCGGGGGTAGCTGCGGCACAATAGCGGTGGAGGACACGGGAAACAACCGAGAAAAGGACAGAGGACAAGGCTGCACGGTTGAGGACTCATGGAGACTTTGTGACACTAACTGAGAATAGGGAAAAATATTTTCATGAAACCTAACATGACGACTAATATAAAATCTACCAGTTTTTGGATCTAAACAACGATAGCCCTTGTATTCAGAGGCATATCCCAGGAAAACACACTGAACAGAACGAGGAGATAATTTATTGGCTGACGTGGCAGTAAAATTAGAATAACATGCACATCCAAACACACACATAAAAGAGAAGTCAGGAATCCGGTGAAACAATTTTTGATAAGGAGAAACGCCTGTAAATTTGGTGGAGGGTAAGCGATTGATAATAAAAGTAGCAGTCAAAATTAGCTCAACCCAAAAAGTGGCTGGCATACCAGCATCAATAAGCATAGTCTGGGCTAGCTCAACCCAAAAATTGGTTGGCATACCAGCATCAATAAGCATAGTCCGGGCTAGCTCAAGTAAATGTCTGTTTACCTTCACCTAGATCATTTTGTTGAGGAGTATCAGGACAAGATTTTCTAAAAAGAATTCCATTAGTATTAAAAATTGACCGCATATTGAAATTATCAAACTCACCCCCTCCACCAGATTCTTAAAGGATTGAAAATGATTAAAGACTTCACTTTTACGACGCATGAGATAGATCCAAGTAAAACGAGAAAAATCATCAATAAAAGAGACATAATACTTGAACCCAGATGTAGATAAAACAGGAGATTGCCAAACATCAGAATGTATTAAAAATAATGGTTTACTAGCACTATGAAAAACATCCTGAAAGGGTAATCTCTGCGATTTACCCAATCTACACGAAGAACAATCATGATTAAAGGAAGACAAACTACAAAGTTGACCAGACTTTTTAAGACCATCTAAGACTCGACTACCACAATGTCCCAAGCGACGATGCCACAGAGGTCTAGGCACCGTGCTAGAGACTAAAGCCAATGCTCATGAAGGAGATAAACGAATGGGATAAAGACTGCCGCTACTAAAAGCTCTGAGAAGAGTTGCCCCCGTTGTTTTGTCCTTAAGCAAAACAGATTTTTTTGTCAAAAATAATAATACAATTATTGTCAGAACACAATTTTTGGATGGATAATAAATTATATTTTATTTTAGGAACGTGATAAACAGATCTTAAATGGAGAGTCCTTGAAAGAAAATTAATAGAAATATCACCAATATTTTTAATGGGTAAACTAGTGCCATTTGCAACAGTTACATTAAGCGGTCCAGAATAAATAGATTTATTAACTAAGTTACCTTCCTGAGCGGTCATATGCGCAGAAGCACCGGAGTCTGGAAACTAGACAACGTCATTAGGATTACCCATGGGTGCAGCAAGAGATGGAGCAGTGGGTTGATTAAAACGGGAAGGACAGGAAACTGCAGAATGACCCGGAGAATAGCAAATTTGACAAACAACTGGCGGTGGAATGGAACCAAACTGTCTATCAACTAAGGATGAGCCTGCATAGCCATGGTTAGTACCAGTAACAAAATAGGGATGCGTATATAACGATGAAAAACACGTATTACATATAACTGAACCTGGACATGTAGGAGTTGGCGAACCCGGGTAATAACCCTGCTGAAAATATCCACATGGTGACTGCCCTGGCCGTGGCTGGTAGTACGCGCCTTGCTGGCCGTACGCCGGAGCCACATACGGTGGTTGGTGCGGTTTTCCATAACCTCGGCCGCAACCACGTTGTCCCCTTCCACGCTGGCCGCGGCGTCCGCGCCCCCTAGAAAAATTGTTTCCGCCGCGAACATCAGTCCCAGCCGCTGCTGCCGGAGCCGTGGGCTGTGTAGTGAAGGCAACAGGTGGGGTAGGCGACTCCTGGGTACGGAGATACTGTAAGCGGCTCTCTTGCTCCACAAGTTTGGTCCGTAACTTATCAAAGGTGAGTCCCTCAGGAAAAGTAGTCAAAGTGGTAATAATAGACTCATAGTCCGGACCAAGCCCCAGAAGAGTTGTTTCAAGAAGATCTTTCATAGAAACTGGGGAATTAATTATGGCTAGGGCATCAGCAATTTTCTGAATTGCACGCATATATTATTCCATAGATTGATTTTCTTTCATTTTGGAATTGGTTAACAAATGTTTTAATTCCATGGAACGAGCCATACTAGCAGCCATAAATCTAGACTCCAAACGATCCCAGATGGTAGCAGAATTTTGTAGTGTGAACCTCAACAAGTATATCACGGGATAAAGTGGCAAACAGCCAAGAACGAACTGTTTGATCCAGCTTTAACCAGTAATAATACTCATTATTCACAACCTCTCTACGAAGAGCATAAAAAATATACTGAGGAGGGGCAGTAATCGTACCATCCAGAATACATAGGAGACCGTGGGAGACCAAGAATGAATCGAATTGGGTTCGCCATGGCAGGTAAACTTCAACAGCATCAAGCTTGATGGTGACGATATTTGTAACATTAGGAGTGAAAAACCCCATAGCTTGTGCAATAGACTCCAAGGAAGAGATTGGGGCTGCTGTTGGCCGACGTACCGGAGGAACGGTAGGAGGCGGCGCGACGCCCTGAGCACCGACAAAAGTGGGGCCGGAAAACTGGAGACGGGAGGGCGATGCA